TTTACATAAAAAATATGAATTGAAAAGATTATATCACACAGTTCTTGATTTTTAATTAATTTGCGACAAGGAAACCGTATCTTACGAAGATGGAAGATGTTTGGCTTGAGGAAGTAAGAGATTATTTTCTAAAAGCGAGTATTATGTTGTTACAGAACGTATTTTTTTCCAGAGACTCTACATACATAAGTAACCATAAACCATAACCAGTTATTTAAAATAAAATAATACTTGTGAATTACCTCGGGTTGAATTCTATATTGTTATTTCGAAACAGGTATTGTGGCCTTAAAGTAGTGATTGATTGCTTTTAATTACGGTTATTAATAGTGTTATATGACCGATATTCGAGAAATAATTTATTTAATTATCAAGAAAATTCATTACACCTATACACCCAGACAGCAAACCAAGTCTCAAAGACGTCTATTGCAGGTCTGTAGACCTAATGAACGTCTGTTATCTAAAGAACAAAACAAGACTTCCAGAAGACGTTGTTTTTACTTATTTAATTTCTTTAGGATACAAAATGAAGACGTTCATAGGATGTCGTAAATTCACATCTTAGACAACCAGGGCTAAAAGTGAAAAATGGTTTATGTATTGAAGAGATTCAAAGACGTCTTTAAGACATCTCGTTGAAGACGTCTTCAGAATGTCTTAGCCCTAAAGACGTTTTTACACAAACGCCTGAAAAACGTTGGGTTTTGTAACATCGGCGTTTTCAAGATGTCTTAAAGACGTAGGCAAGACATCTTGAATGTCCTTTGTGGACATCTTAGGGACGTCTTCCAGAGGCATAAAAAAAATTCCCATAGAATTCGTTTCTCATTCAATTTAGAAGTTACTGGAAACCATTTAAAATGCTACAGAACATTTCAGAACTTCAATAAACCCTTGGGAAAGTTCAAAACACTTAAATTTCAATTCAGAATTTCCAAAAGCATTCTGTAGCGCTTCAAAACAATTTGGGAACTTCAGAACCATTTTAGAATGCTCCAAAACATTAAAAAATCGATTCACAATTTCGAAAAGCAATTTAGAACAATTCAGAAGTTTAAAACCCATTTTAGGACGCTCCTCCAAAACACTCAAACACTGGACAAACAAGCATCTCCAGGAACATTTTGAAAATCGCCAGAATCTTAGAATTCAGGTTAAAAGTTACGAAACGCCTTTCAGAAGGGCGTTTGAGAGCGAATTTAAATTGCTGTAGAACTTTGAATTTTTAATAAGGATCCAAATCAGAATTTTCAGAAGCATTTTAGAACAATTTAGAAACTTCAGAGTTATTTCAAAACAATTAGGATTCAGTTAGAAACTGGAAACCCTTTAGAACTCTTTTGAACCAATTTAGAACACTTTGGAGATACAATAGGGCTAAATACTTCGAAAACCTGTCAGAAAAATTTAGATATCAATGAAAAGCTTCTAAAATGCTCCAGCACTTTTCAAGCGAAGTTAGAACACTTCAATGAGCCATTCAGGACGTTTCAAAACACTGCTCAGCAGCATTTTGAGAGGCTTCAGAACAATTTAAAAACCTCAGATTATTTCAGAGAGCCTAGCGCCTGGAATAGACATAAATTGACAGTTATAAAATGAGTAATAATCTCTTTCAATTCCAATTCTTGAATGTTTATAATTTTTTCTATTCCAGGTTGATTTTTCTTTATTTCTTTATTCTAAATTTTTAATTTTCTTTTGGCTCTTGAATTTTTTCATTCCAAGTTCAAGAATTCTCATTATTCCCGTATTTTATAATTTTAGGCTGTTGATTTGTTTTTCAATTTTTACTCCTGGCTCTTCCAATTTTCTTTTTCCAAATTGAATTTTGTGTATGTTTTCGTTTGCAAGAAATCAAGAATTCAAGCGCCTAACGTTTGGAATAGACAAAAATTGGAAGTTATGAAATAAGTATCTATACATAATATAATAATGAAATATGAGCCCTGAAGACGTCTTTAGGCAGACGTCTGGAAGACGTTGGACTTTCTAACATAGGTACGACGTCTAAAAGGCATCTTTTTATTATTATTATTATTATTATTATTATTACTATTATTATTATTATATATATTTTTTTTTATTAGTTGGCCTTACTTACGGTCACGCGGCTTTGACACTTACACGGGTGCAAGTAGGCCTGGTGTTCCATCCACCGTTCTACTCCCCACCAACCGCAAGGTTAGTAGAAACGGTGTTCCGCATCGTGTGCTCTGAGTAGACGCAATGATCCCAGGATGACCACTTTCTGCATCGTGCCAGCAAGGTGTTCCGCTTTATCACGGCAGACTGGCAAGGTCTTGAGAGTTGAGAGCAGTGTTTGTCGTGCACCTCCGAGAGCCCCAATAACCAAAACCACTAGTTCCAAAGTGTTAATGACTCCATCTTGGCAAGCAATGATAAACCCCTCAGTTTCCAACTTTAATGCACCAGACCTCAAGCAAGTGCAAAGCTTAGCTTTTTGGATAAGCCAGTGTTTTCAATGGTTTTAAATAAAACACTGTGCAATGGCTTATCCATATGTAGACGTAATAAATAGTCTACCTCTGCACTCTTTAAGGTGGTTTTAAGTCTTTGGCTGGTAAACTCTGTAATAGAGTTTTCCTGCCGCCGACTCTTGTCGAAAACTATTTGGAGCTCATCCGCTGCCCTTTGTGCAGCCTTAAAAAGAAATGCCCCCACCCCAAATGTTTCATGGTCACGCACCATGCATGGCAGGGGATCCTCGTCTCTGATTACTTCGCACGTGGCACTTAGGACCAACCGTCTATGCAAACACTCCAAACTTAAGAGTCCACGGCCTCCCTGATAACGTGGGAAGTAAATCCTTTGGACAGACGCCTTAGGATGATGGCTTCGGCATCGCGTCATCATCTTGCGGGTTTTTGCGTCAATTTCACGCAACTCATTTACATTCCACTTTATCACTCCAAAGGAGTAAGTGAGTAGTGGGACGGCAAGCATATTTGTAGCAGCGACTTTGTTCTTTCCAGACACCTCTGAATTCCAGATCTGTCTCAATCGCTGCTGATACTTGTCGCGGAGAGACCCTTTTATCGCGACACTATCCTGGATGTGTCCCTGAGGAACACCCAGGTAAGTATAAGTCTCCCCGGCATCCAGATGTTGTAGGATGCGCCCATCTACGAGTTGCGCGTCCTCGGCGTGATCCGCATGGCGCCCTTTTAGACTGTGAGATAGGAGCTGTTTAGTGGAGTCATTTTTTTTGTCTGGCATTTTGAGGGCTGAATGTGGCCACTAAGCTGATGAGAATATGGGTGATTTTAATGCCTGCCTCCCGTTCCAAAATTTGCAGAAGAAAAAAATTGATTTACATGAGGATTTTTTTTTTAATGATCTCAAATATTTTGGCTTCTAAATAAAAGATTGACATTGATAAATAATTCACCCATAAAAAATACCAGATGCTTTTCAATAGCTGAAAAAGTGGGGATGAGTATCAACTTCCAAGAGAAAAGAAAAGAACCTTCCGCGTTTACTTTTTGTCTGGCAATCAAGAGAATGGAAGGTTTTGTTGTGAAAATATCGCTGAAAAATCACCAGACGGTAATCCCAGTTCGAAGTCGAGTTTTCCGTCGAAACATTCTGTGGACATTTCGAACAGGTGGCAGGCATTAAAACCACCTATATTCTCATCAGCTAACTAGCCACATTCATCCCTCAAAATGCCAGACAAAAAAAATGACTCCACTAAACAGGCCCTATCTCAGGGTCTATTTCCTAAGTTAAACCGTTGCACACTTATCCAACCCGAACTCCATCCCGATCGCATGAGTATACTCCTGTACTACTCGAAGAGCTTGGTCGAGATCGAGATCTCTTTTCGTCGACGCGTAGAACTTGAGGTCATCCATATAGAAGAGGTGGGTAACCCTATGCGTTCTACGGCCGGGAGCACCGCACACGTATCCCTTTGTGTTCCGCAAAGCAACGGACAGCGGAAGTAGCGAGACACAAAAGAGGAGTGGGCTAAGGGAATCTCCCTGAAACACTCCCCGGCGGAATGATACCAATTTAGTCGACACCTTTGTGGTACCGGTACCTATTGTAAATCGGATCTTCCAGAGTGGCATCATTCCTGAAATGCATCCCGCCACGGGATCTGGCACCGCAAGGCTTCTCAAAAGGTGGATAATAAGTTCATGAGAAGTTGTATCAAAGGCCATGCGGTAATCTATCCAGGTCATCAAAAGGTTTCGCTTGTACTGGAAGGAGTCCTGTGTGGCACATCGGTCTATTAGTAAGTTCTCCTTGCAGCCTGCTACACCCTTCTTTGACCCTCGCTGCTCGTATACTCCATTAAACACTGGATTCATGGCTTGGAGTATCCGCTTGTACACGAGTCGCGTAAAAATCTTGTAACAAGCGTTTAAACATGTTATCGGGCGATATTTCTTTGGGTCGGACAAGTCTCCATTCTTGGAGAGTAGGACGGTTCGCCCCTCAATAAACCAGGAAGGAATTGGCTGCCCCTCATTAACCCAGGAGTTAAAAATTCGGGCTAGGGCCTCATGGGTTGATGGAAATTTTTTCCACTAATAGGTGTTAATTCCATCAGGCCCAGGAGCTGCAAAGTTCTTAGCGCCCATAAGAGCACTTCGAACTTCCTCCACAGTTATCGGTTGGCACAGTTGCTCAGGTTGTGGAAACCCCCTCACGAAGGTTTCGAACTGTGCCAGGGCTGGTGTGCCTGCGTTGAGCGGACGAGTTACCTCGTACACACCCCTCCAGAAGGTTTCCACCCTCTCAGCAGTTGGAGGATTGTCAATAATCCTTGGCGGCGCTTGAAATAGGCGACTGGGGTTTTCAAAAAACAATTTGTTTTCCGAAAGCCCCTCCGCCCGCCGAATTAGATTTTGTTTGGCACTCACTAACATCCGTATCCTTTCGCAGCACTGCTGCTTGATGGTCTGCAACAGTGCTCCGTTAAGTGTGTGGTGGGTGCGTCGCAAGTTGGCGGCTATGCGGCGCACTTTTGGCGTATAAGGCCTGGCTGCCAATTTATATTCCACCACGCACTGTATACGAGATGCTTGCTGCCTTGCTGAGAGGATTTTTGCATCCATCTTTTTTACTCGGCGTTGCGCCCTGTCAACGCAGGAATCCCTGTTATGGACCCTAGGCGACAAAGAGCAAACTGCCTCGTAGACGGCACAGTTAATGCGCCAGATGTCAGCTTCTTCTGTTAGAGCATTTAACAGCTCTTCGTTCGCTCTAGCTAGGTCTTGTGGTTTCGGTCGCTTAGTCTTGTGCAGCGCCGTACGGTCTCGGAGTCTCTCTTCTGGCGCTACAGGAGGAGCCTCTTCAGCTATATGTATCTGCGGTTCCTGTTCCTCAGGTACCGCCGGCTGTTGAGGTCCTCTAACATATCCCCTTCGCCTAAGGTAAGACACATAGTCTCGCAAGCCCTGAGCAGTGAATGTGTCATACTCAGGATGCATTCCACTCCACAGCTCATGCATACGACCCATATACCCCCTTCGAGCTGGGCTACTGCTCTCATAGCAATCCAGCAGATCATCCCTCAGATCATTGGTCCACTCAAAGCGTCCTTGTTCGTTGCGGTCGTCATCTTGCAATCCATCCGGTTGGGCCCCTCCACCTTGCCTGTGACCCCTCATCCGACGGGGTCGGTTGTGGGGGCCCTCTCGTTCCTCTGCGTTTGGAACCGAGTTTAGGGACTGGTAGGAGGTTACCCTGGCCAGCCCCCGGTCGACATTTAGGACTAGCAGGCTTTCATCCTTGCGGGTCACCTGCGTCGCAGGTTGCCGATCCGATTTGACCCTGGTTATTATTATTATTATTACCATGATTCAAATGTTTTCTCGGATTCAACCGGTTTCTCCCTAGGCAGACGGGTGGGTACCAAGTCTATCTAGTGAAATTACTACCTACTTGAGGAAAGGGCTATATTGCATGTTTTTAATATTATGGCTTTCTGTATGTGCTCATGTATGACTGTATTTAGCTGCAGATGTTTTAAATGTTGGGTGAATGCTTTATGTGTTATGCCTGTTGTGGACATTATAAATGGTATGATGTGGACTTTTTTCTGTTTCCAAATTTTTTCAACTTCCATTGCCAAGGGCGTATATTTTTAAATTTTTTCTGCGTACTTTTAGCTGATGTTCTTATCTGTAGGTATTGCTATGTCTATTAGATATGTGTTTTGATTCATCTTATCTATCAGAGTGAGATCTAGTCTGTTATGCTGTACAGTTTTGTCCGTGCGTATATCTATGTCGTAGAGTAGAGTTTGAAACTCTTGTTCTCAAGTATACTGTCTGGCGTGTAGTGGTAATATGGTATTTCTGTGGTGATTAGGCCATATTTATGGGCCAATGCTTGGTGTATACTTAAGCTGCAATGTTGTGTATATCTGTGTATGACGTGCCTGCCAGTATTTTACATCCTCCTACTACATGTTGGTGGCATTTTCTGCATAAGTCGCTTATCTCTGTATTTTTCAGTACCTATATATTTTTGGTAGTTCCTGGTCGCTATCACCTGATCCTGTATGGCGAGTATAAAGCCTTCTGTTTCTGGGTAGAGTTGTCCTTTCTGTAGCCATCTATATGATTCTTGTTTTTGAATCTGTTCGTCTTTCATGATGTACAAGTGTTTTCCGTGTAGCTTCTTTTGTGACCATTCCTCCATTCTCTGTTGTTGTGTTTGTATTTGTTGTGATTGTGTTTCAGACTGAGAGAGGTTAAATGGTGTATATTCTTCATCTGCTTGCGCGACTGCTGAGTTTAATGAAGTTTGCTTGCTGTGGAAGTATTCTCTGAGGGTTTGTATCTGCTTTGCATGGAGAACGTGAATGTCTACTAGCCCTCTTCCGCCTTCCTTCCTGATTATTGTGATTCTCTCTTTACATGAGTTTGGGAGTAGTTTCCTATTCCTCGTCAGTTCAGATCTTGTGAGGATGTTTATGTTTTCTAGGTCTGTTTTTGTCCATTTAATTATTCCGAAGGAATATGTAAGTAGCGGGATAGCAAGCGTGTTGATAGCTTTGAACAGATTCTTTGAGTTTAATTTTGTATTCAGTATTAGAGTTAAACGATTATTGAACTCCTTAGTTAGTTGTTTTTTTTATGGCCATGTGATCTATTCTTGTGTTCTGTTGATATCGCACATATTTATATGTTTCATGAATTTGCATGTTATCAAGCATTTCATTATTAAGCATTTCTGTGTCGACCTCGTCCTTCCATTTACTCCCTTCTATATGTAATGTTTTGCATTTGCTGATTCCGAATTCCATTCCTATGCCTGTTGTAACTTTTTCCGTTATTCTCAGTAATCCCTTCATTTGTGTCTATGTTGCATATATTTTGATGTCGTCCATATAAAGCAGATGGTTGATTCTGTGTTTTACTCTGCTTTGGTGTTTAATCTGGAAGCCGCATTTTGTGTTATTCAGTGTGTTGGAGAGTGGGTTGAGGCACAGACAGAACAAAAGTGCACTCAGAGAGTCTCCTTGGAAGATTCCCTTTTTTATATTAATGTTGTCTGTTTTTAGTTGTTCCGTTTCTGTTGTTAAATATATGTTTGTTCTCCAGGTGTTCATGATGGTTGACAAGAAGTTTCTAATAACTGGATGTATTTTATAAATTTGTAGCACCTTGTTTAACCATGAATGTGGTACAGAGTCGAACTTGTTCCTTACAACCTTGACTGTTTTTTTTGCAACCCTTTTGTTCTTCTGTGATTATATCATATTTTGGAAGGTGTTGTTCTATTTTTTTGCATATGACCGATGTTATTATTTTATAGAGGGTCGGCAAACATGTTATTGGTCGATAATTAGCCGGGTTCACTGTGTCATGGTTTTTCGGTTTTATGTACCTATGTTTTCCCTTGCGTTAGGAATTGTGGAAATACTTGTGGGTGCTTTATTAATTTATTTATTTGTTTCGTTAAGAACTTATATGTGAATCTTTTGTACGAAAAGTTTTGTATTTGGTCTGTTCCTTGGCATTTCCAGTTATGTGTGCTGCTTATTATGTTCACCAATTCTTCTATTGAAACTTCGAATTCTGCTTGTTCTTTGATGTCTTTGTGTCTGTCCTCTTCTTCTTTAATCCATGTTGCTGTGTGATTGTGTTGCGCAGGCTCTGACCGTATTCCTTCCCAATATTGTGTTACTTTTTCTCTGCTTGGTGGTATGTATTATTTTAATTTCCTCTGTGTTGGTCATTCTTGTGTAGAATAGCTTTTCGTTTGAGTTGAAGAGTGCGTTATCTATTTTCCTTTTATTGGACTCTTTATATCTGCAAAGGCGTGCTGAGTATACTATAAGTTTTTGTTTAAGTGTATCCATTATTTCTATGAATTTTGTGGTGAAAATTCTGTGCAGCTCTGAGCGATATCATCCTGTTTTGATGATTTCGAGTTGGGTTGCAAAATAATAACAACGCATAACATTTCGGTTCATTTCGTCGTTCCAAATCATGCGTTGTCGGACTCGTCCTGCCTTAGTGGTTGCTGGTTGTCCCTGCAAAACATTTCGGGCAGTTCCTGAATTCGTGGCCTGGTCTTCATTGATTTGGTCAAGCGATCTGTTCTCACAACGCCCGTCTTGACCGTCCGGTCGTTCGTCCGAGATTTTTGTTCTGGTTCTGGGCTATCCTTTGTTTGTGGTGTTAGTAGTTCAAAATGGCCGGCTTCAGGGTTGCCAGTTAGGAGTAGGTGAATGGTCTTATTGTGCTTTCTCTTGCTTATTATTGTTGGCTTGTCTTTCATTATTATTTTCTTTGCTCCAGTTATTTGCTGTTTGTTATATATGTGAAAGTTCATTTTCTGGGTTTCAGAGAGATCAAGCATTTCCAGACTGGTTCCATATGTGGTTGTTTTTTTCATGTGAGCATGATAGTTTTCGATGTTTCGCATCCTATTGTCCCCGATTAGCGCATGAACCTGTAGCTCCGACCAGTTTAGCTGTATGTACTTCAGTGATACTTCTCTAAGTTGTTGGTGTCGATTTTGGTGGCCATACAGATGTAGGCTCACTGATCTAAAAAGGCAGCTTCCATCACCAATCACATCAGATCTTATGAAAATCTCGGAAGTAGGTTCGGCTGTAGCACTTTTATCGACAGAAGTCCGCCTGTTCAACGTTCTGTCGCCACCGTTTCGCAGGCTGTCACCCTCAGCTGTGGCTCCAAGGGTGCCCTGGCGATCCCCAGGCAGCGGAATTTTTCAGAGGCTATTATCATTCACCATTTTCATGGGTATCCCACCATTTACCCTTGGTGGCCCAGGTAACTCGGACACTTGGGGACGTTACACCCTAAAGTAGTTAGATCGAAATCCAACTACCCCCGTGCGGGGGTTGGTTTCTTGATTGGGGATTTCGGGCTAAGATTACCAGGCGGACCCGAGGGAAGGAAATGCTAAGGGAATACAATGTTCTGGGAAGAATTAGATTATGAGATTGGATTACCAGGAGAGTAAGGAAAGTTAGGTAAATAGGACAGCGGACAGCTAGCGCCCCTGGCTGCACCGCCTGCGCATTGCGGTGGCATGGAACACACTACTGGCTGCAGAGCTGTCACGGCCAGACATTATTATTATTATTATGGGCTAGTAGTAGTAGGTTATTTTGATAGAAATTGCAATTTTCACTAGAATAGCAGCTAGTTTGCAAACTAACCAAGAGTCTTGGGTAATTTACTCGAAATTATTGAGAAAACTAAATTAGCTGTTAGTTTATAAACTATCCAATGCAGCCTGGCTAATATGAAAAATATAAGGTGTGTTTCTGCAGAAATCACAAACCCGTCAGATTAAATTTCATTGGTTGAAACCAGTTTTCTGACTGTTTTCAGCCAATAAAATTCGCTCTGACTGGTTTTTGATTTCTGCAGAAACAGACTTATAATTGTCGTCAAACTAAAGCAGCGTTTTCCTAGCAACGCACATTTTACGCGGCGTAGAACGTAATTCGGTCGGCGTAAAACGTTGAGGACATGTCTAATGAAAATCAAATGAAGGTGTTTTCCTCCACTGCGTAAAAACGACTTGCGCTAGCGTATAGGTTTTTTACGTTATATTTAGGATGACGTCATAGAACAAAAAAAGACAATGTTGTCAATGCCTATTTTTTTTCTTATAATTTATCAGAATGTTACGTGACAGTAGATCTATCTATTATACCAAACAAAGAGGTAATAATACGAAAACTTCATTAGATAAAAAAAGCACAGAAAGCTCATTGCGCAAGACGAGGCAAAATGTACCAAATTTTGTTAAACATGTATGGCAATCCGTCCTCCTTAGTTGCTCGGGATAAAAAGAGAAGAAGAAAAACCGCGTGTTGTGCAACGTATTTATCAATGAACATTTCAAACTACTTTTGAGTGTCACTTGTCAAGTAACGTCAAGTTGAATATCAACCTTACTTTTTTTTTATCAGACCACGAACAATGAACAAGGACAAGGAGATGTCCAGCGTGCAAAACGAATACTTCACACCTGTACTAGTTAGCTAATAAAAAGACTTGCCTCATGTTGCGCGCGCATACCAGGTAAAAATAGATAGGTCTTTTCCAGGCCCTGCGATCTCTCATTGCCAGTTATAAACCATATAATAACTCTTTTCCGTTTTTCTAGATGTCGC